TGAATTAACGACTTTTGACTGCATTATTTCTGCATGCTATCTTACCAGATTTAAATCGTTAATCTATAATCCGGAATCGCCGAAGTTCGACGAGTCTGGATTACGGACTTTGTACTGTATATGTGATGTCTGTTCTCACAAGTTTTTGTTTGAAATTAATATTTTCCTTTTTTTTTTTGGGAACTATTTTGAATGGTAAGTGAATTTACTTTTTTTATTGTTTCAGCGGATAATATTCCATAATTGGGGTGAGTGGCAAACTTGGTGAGAGTTTTTTTTTATTTGGCGAGATTTTGATTTGGTTGTGGTTTCTAGCTATATGTTTTCTTGTGGAAAACCTAGAGCTTTATTTTAGTAATTATAAGAGTGCGAATTTAGTGTAGGCAGAAGATTTTTTTTTAAAATTTAATTTTGAAATACTGTGCTTGTTTTTGAATGTTTTACTGTTTAATATTATATATATATATATATTTTAATATTGTTTCACAAGAAAACAGTAAAGTTAAATTAAATTTAAATAATTATCTTGCAGCATAGCTGCAAGAAATGAAATTTGAATTTAAAAATATTCTCTATTCGTATAAAAATTTAGAATAAAAATCTTAGAATTTAAATCATATTGTAAATTAGTTCGCAGCAATAATAATTCTTTTTATTTCTTTGCAATTAAAATTAATTAAATTTTAATTTTATATTTGGTTTTTACGAATAGAGAATATTTGTTATATTTGTTTATATTGTATTTATATAAATATTTGAAGAAGGTTAAGCTGTTGTTGGTGGGAGAATGTTGGATTTCAGATAACCAGAAGTTATGAATGTTTTCATTTAATTTTATGAAATTTTTTTTTAGTTATGTTTCTTGCACATGGCAATTGAAAGATGTGGAATATTTAAAGTTTTGAACGTAAAAATCAAGCTTGTTCAGTGTGTTGAATTCCAGGAAGTTGTTTTATCATTTAATCAATTTTATTCACTACAGTCAAAAGTCATTAATCGGACTTGTCGGGACTTCGGCGATTCCAGATTAACGATTTTTCCAGATTATAGATCATATCAGTTTAAATCTGGTAAGATGGCATGCAGAAATTATAAAATTAAAAATATGAAACCATAATTTGTGAAATAAAGAGCAATAATGATCTAAAATGTATCAAAATTTACAAAAAAAAAAAAAAAAAAAAAAAAAAAGAAAAGCCTAATATTTATTTATTTACTTTATTAAACATTTCTTTCAATGCATGCATGCATTACGCATATTCGAAATTAGAAAATTGCAACTAAAAAACTATTTAATGTGTATTTGGCAGCTCCAGAATCGGAAACTCTTTTTGACATAATCGAAAGTTCAAGCTTACTTTTTATAAAATTGCTCTAACAGTCTGCAAAAAATAATAAGCCGGATCCAATTAGAAGATTAAGGAGCAACATTAACTGAAACAAATAATTAGATAATTTTAGCTTAGCTTATATTGTCCATTATACCATTAAACGCATATGCGCATGCGTTTACGCATTTGCAGAAAGTCTGTAGCTTTGAGGTCCAAATTATAGATAAAACCGGAATTAGATGAAAGGTTAATTTTATATACAGTCAAAAGTCGTTAATCCGGACTCGTCAGGACTTCGGCGATTCTGGATTATAGATCATCAGTTTAAATCTGGTAAGATGGCATGCAGAAATTATAAAATTAAAAATATGAAAACGTAATTTATGAAATAAAGAAAAATTATAATCTAAAGGGTATCAAAATTTACAAAAAAAAAAAAAAAAAAAGCTTAATATTAATTTGTTTACTTTATTAAACATTTCTTTCAATGTAAGTTGTTTGCTTCATTTTTATGTGATAATACTTTCTCTTTAATTCTATAAACAGACATAATTTCTTGTTCAGTTACAGAGTTCCGTTCAAGTCCTATAATTGCTGTGTCGAGAATTCCGACTAATTTGTCAATCGAAATTTTTTTGTTTTCAATAACTTCTGTGTCACTTTCTTCACTATCGGAAGCAAATTATAATGACGAGGAATTTGATTTAAATCTTATCAAAGACGGAATACATCGAGATGAAATACTACATTTAGTAAGGAATTATAAGCCAAATAAAATGAAAACATCTGCCCTGAAGATAAGGATAGTGCTGACAGATCAACTTCCAATTTATTGCGCACTGCAGCGTTGAAAACATCTGCCCTGAAGATACGGATAGTGATGACAGATCAACTTCCATTTCATTGCGCGCCGTTCCCCCCCATTCCCTGCCCCAGAGCAGCGTAAAATTGAAAAACAGATTTTGGAATGGTTAGGTCATTTTTTGCAGCAATTCCACTTTTGTTTAATGGAGTTCGAAACATACTTTTGCTTTGGTAGATCCTTTACATATTAGTAAATATATATCGGAAATTCTACTTGACATAATCGAAAGTTCAAGCTTACTTTTATACAATTGCTCTAACAGTCTGCAAAAAATAATAAGCCGGATCCAATTCGAAGATTAAGGAACAACGCAATCTGCAACATTAACTGAATTAGATAATTTTAGCTTAGCTTATACCATCCGTTATACATTAAACGCGCATGCGTAAACGTATTTTGCGCACGTGCACACACACCTATTCGCAGCCGTAAAGGTGTTACGCGCATGTGCAGAAAGTTTGTAGCTTGTAGGTCCGGATTATGGGTTTCCGAATTAACGACCTTTGACTGTAATACTTATATGAAATTAACCTTTCATCTAAATTAAAACATCAATCTTAGCTAGTTATTTATTATTATAATTCTTTTCTTGCGTTAGGGTTGCCGCAATTATTTTTGGCAGCACTGGCATCAACAATAGTTTGGTGATTTTTTACGGCCCTCAAAACCGAATAATACCTAATAATTTAATTAAATGTGTCTAATACGCTTTATTTATTTAGCACTTTTAGTCTGAATATTATGATTTATCTTTTCTGTCCTGAAATTCGCACAACTTCTGGTCCCAGGCTTTGCGGATTTCTGGATTTCCACTGTATCAACTTTGTGGATTGCGAGTCTGGCTGTCATATAAATGCGATAGAGATTATGTGGCAGTATGTTAAAGCTACATTGCCTACTTCTAATCGGAAATGCAATTTTGTGTTAAATTTGGTGGTTTATATATATTTTTTATCGTTGTCCTGAAATGGGAGAAGATACTTTTAACAAATTTGTGGTGAAACTGTTTTGGTGTTGTTTGAAATTTATATTTCTGCTGTTCAAAGAAGCATTTATTCATGATAAGTGCATTTTATATTATTCCTGTTCTTATTTTGTAGAATGTTATGTTTATTTTTTTTAGTATGATTTTCTGTTGTTATTGTTATTTGTTTTTAATTTGAAATTTATTTTAGTTTATTTTGTTGATCAGTGCGCAATACCTAGATTGTGCGGGTAGAGTAGACTTTAAGGTACCCCTTGTATTATGGCGAAGTTGTTGTTTGATTTATCGCCAAGTTGTTGTTTCATTTATGGTAGCCTGAGTATTTGAATGTTATGAAAACCCTATCGTGATGTAATCGGGTGCATGATTCTGGGAAATTTTGAATCATGGGATGTTTTGTAAGCGTTTTTGTGGTGCATGTTAAAACCGTTTAGTTAGATATAAATGGGTGAAAAAGGAAGGAAAAAAGGCTCAGATAGTCAATTTGTGAAATGTTCGATCAGGAAGAATACCTGGTTTGAAAAAAAGTCATTTGAGTATGATTGATATTTTGATTTTTACGTGGCTCTGGGTGTACGAAGCGAACACGAAAATCATGGTAAGCGAATATTTGCTTTTGGTAGTGCTTAACATGTTTTTCGTTTTCTTTTTATGTTATTTTATTGTTTGGTTTAAAATGTATTTTATTAAGATTATGTATTTTTTGTTTGCCTATGTTGTAAACTTTGGTGCTCCTTTGACTTTTTAAGTGAAAATATTTCGATGTGTACATGGAAAAAGTAAAGGGAGCGCAATGCAAGTTTGTGCAATTCTGGGATTTTTTTTAAGTGAAAATAGGTCGACGTGTACAAGGATAAAGTCAAAGGAGTGCGCAATGCCATTTTTGTGCAATTTGGGGTTTTTTTTTTTAAGTGAAAATAAGTCGATGTGTACACGGATACCGAGTTTGTGCAATTGTTTGTCTTGTTATTTTTGCTTTGTGTAGCAGCGATTTTGGTGCAAAAATCGCCGCTTCGCAGGCCAAAATAACGAGTCAAAGAATGGCACAAAATCAGTATCCACGTACCGCCAAAAATCGCCAAGTTTCACCAAGGGGTACCCTTAACTATACTTTTACCGATTGTGCAATTCGTAGATGTTTTTAAAAGTTTAAACAGAATGCTGTGTACATGGTATTCTTGCAATTTTTTGTTGTTATATTAATTTATTAATGCGAGGTATGCGTAGTTCGCAGATTCCTTCGCTGCATAAATTGTGCACTTCTGTGTTTTTTTTTAAATTAAAACATATCGCTATGTACGTGAATTCTTGTCAAATAATTTTGGTTAGGAACTTTACATGCTATCTAAATTTTTTGTTTTTGTTTCGGATTTTTAGCTTAAACAAATGGTGTGTTCATACGTTGCAAAAACCACGTTCTTGGAGACATTTTAGGCCAAGTTCGAAATGTAGACAAATATAAGAGTATTTCTAATGTAAAATAGTAATTTCACACAAAATTAATATTTGATAGTTGGCCATAACAGCTGACTTCCTTCTTGGGGTGCAACTGATTTCTGAAGACAAATTACTTTTTCTTAGATCATTTACACTACTTTAAAAACTGGTGATGAAAATTTAATACGAAAATATTTTTCAGTTTCATCAAACTGAGCATTGTTTAACAATTTCTGTTTCATAATTACACACAGGCATATTTTTAACATATTTTGTCAATTCCTAATACAATAAATTGCAAATGTGATGGATCATATCTTCATTTCATTCAATATATCTTATAGTTAAGTGAAATTCTACAAAAAATATTTAAATAAAGTACCTTCACGCATTTTTTGCTCCAGCTCGTCAATAGTTGGTTCAATAAGTTCCCATCCTTCGGGAGGTCTTTTTCTACTTCTTCGAACTTTTGGCATTGTTTCTTTAAACTACTCCTCAACTACAAACCCAGCAAAACACCAAACTCAGGATGAAAACAAATATTTATTTGCTACTTTCAAGTCATAAGCCTAAAGGCCTGTCTACACGTACCGATTTTATCGGCCGACTTTCTCGTACGATTTTATCTGCGAGAGCTTGCTTGTCCACACGCAACGATTTTGTCGTCGGTACAGGAAATGCCTTAACCAATCACTGTCCGAGGAACAATTCCCGCCCTATCGTGATGTAATCGGGTGCATGATTCTGGGAAATTTTGAATCATGGGATGTTTTTTAAGCGTTTTTGTGGTGCGTGTTAAAACCGTTTAGTTAGATATAAATGGGTGAAAAAGGAAGGAAAAAAGGCTCAGATAGTCAATTTGTGAAGTGTTCGATCAGGAAGAATACCTGGTTTGAAAAAAAGTCATTTGAGTATGATTGATATTTTGATTTTAACGTGGCTCTGGGTGTACGAAGCGAACTCGAAAATCATGGTAAGCGAATATTTGCTTTTGGTAGTGCTTAACATGTTTTTCGTTTTTTTTTTTTTTTTTTTTTTTTTTTTTTTTTTTTTTTTATGTTATTTTATTGTTTGGTTTAAAATGTATTTTATTGAGATTATGTATGTTGTAGACTTTGGTGCTCCTTTGACTTTTTAAGTGAAAATATTTCGATAGCCCATAATACCCTGTTCCAAGAGCTGCGTTTTGAAGACAGGGTGGAATTTGGAAAGTATTTGCGAATGATGCCGTGCGATTTTGATTATTTATTAAACTTAGTGAGCAGCAAAATTAAAAAACAGGATACGATTATACGTTGAGCAATTTCACCATCTGAGAGGCTGCATGTAGCTTTCTAGCTGGTGGTAAGTTAATTTTTATTTTATTGGAAAAAAATCAATTAATTTTGATAATTAATAAATCAAATTCACAAAAATTGAAATACAAATTCAAACAATAATTTTAATCACTATTTTTTAAAATTTGAGAAATTTATAATGAATAAATATCATAATTATATCACTACATCATTTTTAATAAATTTATTTTTTAAGTTTTTTATTATGTTACAGGGTGTTCCTATTCAAATTTACAGTATTTGTTTAGAATACCTAAACAAACATTGTCAAGAGTGATACCAGAAGTATTGGATGCTTTATGAGAATGCATGCAAGATTACATAAAGGTGAGTTAAAACTTAATATATCAATGTTACATATGAGGTCTTATAATTCACAACAATATCATGACCTTTTAATTTTAAAAAAAAAAAATTTCATTTTTACAAGATCAGGATACTAATATTCAGTTGAATTTTTCTCAAATTTGTAATATTGAATTAACTTCAGAGCTTGTTTTCCTTGAAATGCGATTCATTTAAAAAGAGTATTACAGGAGTGCAATATATAATTTTCTATTTAGAATTAAGAGCCCCACCAGTGGTTGAGTGGTTAAGACAACTGAATACTGGTAGTTCAACCTGGCTTGGGTTCCTTCCCAGGCGAACAGGTTGGCTGCATGGTTGGTTTTTGTGGTTACCCCATGTGTAACATAAATATGAGCCAGTTTCCCTTAGAAAGACCTCTACGAAGGTTTCTCTCCTCTTACGCAGATAACATAAAGATTAGCCTCGCGATATTTAAATTTAAGCCTTCGCGATATTTAAATTTAAGTAACCTATTTACAATTAAAGTCATAAAATAGTTGCATTGGGATATCTGGATAACGGATAACTTTGAGTTTTTTCTTTTTTAAGTACTAGCAGAGAGAGATTTAGTATAGCAATTGGAATTTCATTACTCATGTAACATCCCCTTGAAAATGTTATGCAAACACCGTACTGATGAAATGTCTCTCCAAGTTATATTTTACACTAACCATTACACTTCAGTTACATAAGCATGCACATTTTACCATGTAAAAATCAGGGCTTTTTAAACTTTTTTGATTGACACTTGATTTTATGGTGGTTAGAGATGAAAATGTCTCTCACTAATATGTTGCAGAAAAAGGTAAAAGTTTATGGCAGTTTCAGAAATTGTAGGAAATCTTTTGCAATTGCTAGCCAAAACTCTTCTGAAGACTTCGTATTAAAGATAAAGTTTCAATTCCGAATTACTATTTGATAAATCAGCAAGTTCTTGTGATTTTAATGACAAATGAGTAATATTTTCCACATTAATTCTAAATAGTTTCACAATATATATTAGTTCTTTGACATAAAATTTGAAGGGAAATATTTAAATTTTTCTTTAAATTTCAAATAAGAAATATAAATATGCAAAATCTTAAAATAACATATCATACTGAACATTAAAAATACTATCGGTATAGTTTAATAACTAATACAGTTCTGAAAACTGTAATCATATTGCTATATCAGTTAATCAGCTAATAAAATTGAGCAATATTGTATTAAATTGAGCTGTAATTTATTTAACCAACATAAAATAATTTTCATCACGAATAAAAAAATATTTGATTATAAAGTAACGGGAAGATAACTTACCAAAATAAGGGAATCCTTTAACTTTTTATTTTTATAATTTATGTTATTTGTGTCACACAACACAGCATGGTCTCTATAAAAATCAATCAATTGAAAAATTTGATTTTCGCTCCAACGAAAAAGCGCCATGTTTCCAAAATGAGAGAGAAAAGCACGTGATCTCTGGAAGCAATCTAATTGGCTAGAGTCGCCGATTTTATCGTCGGCTAGTGAGCCAGGACTAATTAGAAGAGAAGGGCTAGCTCACAGAGCTTTTCCCCTTGAAGCAGAAAGTGAGAAGTGGTAACGTAGCCATGATGACACTGAGCGCGCCAATATAATTCACAGCTTGGAAATTAACGTTTTTGAACCAGCGTTTAAAATGAGCTGTGCGTGAAAGATAGCTATAATTTGGAAGAGGCAATGTTACTGCTTTATGCATTTTAGACTGAACCATTAAAAAATTTAATAATGCTTACTCAATTTTAAAATAATAGATAAAATGTGCTACTCTTTTAACATAAAGTTCCGTGGTTTTTTTTTATTTTTATTTGCAGGTTTTTTTATTTAATGCACGTTTATTTCTAATCATTTCTTTATTTGCATGCTAACTGAGAGAATTTTTATACTGCTTCTAAGATAACTATAATAGCAGCTATTTAAATTTACTCAAAAAACAACTTTACATTGACATAGGTTTAAACATATGTGACATATATGGCAACATTTCTGCTAACCTACGTTTGATTTTTTTGCCTAATTGTAATTTTTACATTGTTATAATTCTCTTCCAATTCAATATAATAGATATTTTTTAAATAATTTTGTAATTTATACTTATCTATATTACAATTAAATAAATATATATAAGATTGTTACCTTAATTTTGACAAAATAGCTTTATTCAGAATACCTAAAACAGTTATTTAATTTTCAAAAGTGTGAGTAAAGGAAGCAGGTCTTTTTATGCCAATTACTTTGATGTTTTATACTATTATATTTTATCTAGAATGCTAATCTAGCACAAAATCTAATCAATAATTAGTTACAAAGGATACAATAAGAATAACTTTAACAAGTACTTAACAAAATTAGTTTGTTAAATACTTGTTATTCTTGTTGGTACTATTTTGGTACTATTCATAATACCGAAGATATTATCGATTAACTCATAGACTCCTTCTGGAAAGCAGTGAAGAGGTACAAAAAATGCTATAACGCCATTCCGCCCCTTCACGGCCCTCAACGGATCCATTACACCGGAACTGAGAAAGCAGAACTTTTAGCTCAGCATCTGGAATCTCAGTTCTGCATTAACAACATTTCAGACTCAGACACTGAACAGCTTATTGCTGACTTCCACTCCAATTTTACAACACAGCCATGCACAGACAACATTATCTCAGCCATGCCATCGGAGGTCTGTCTCTATATCATGCGAATTGCGAAAAGGAAGAGCCCTGGAGTAGACGGGGTCACAAATGAGATGATCAAGCACTTCCCTGTCAAGATAATACTCTACTTCACCAAGTTAGTGAATATCATACTACGATGGCAATACTTCCCAACTTGTTGGAAAACTGCCAAGATTGTCCCTCTGCTAAAGCCCAACAAGCCTGCGACTGCTCCTGAGAGTTACCGACCAATCAGTTTCCTAAGCTCAATTAGCAAAATTGTGGAAGCAGTTATTCTACATAGACTAAGCATCTTCCTGGATGAGCAGAAGATCCTCATACCCTATCAGTTTGGGTTCAGGCGTAAGCACTCGACAACGCATCAACTCTACAGAGTTGTTGAGTTAATAAGCAGGGGGATGCAACAACATCGTGTCACTGGTGGACTTTTCTTAGATGTCGCCAAAGCCTTCGATAGAGTATGGCTGGATGCCCTCATATACAAATTACACAACCTGGGACTCCCAGGCTACATCACAAACATAATTAAATCCTACCTAACCGGTAGACACTTTGTCGTTCATGTTTCTAGTTCATTATCCACAAACCGGCCTATAAGGGCTGGTGTTCCACAGGGATCCCTTCTGGGCCCTACCCTATTCAATATTTACGTGAACGACATTCCCACTACACACAACACAACACTAGCCATGTATGCAGACGACACAACGATCCTTACGCAAAGTGCATTTGTTAGTTCAGCAATACAACAGCTACAACACCACATCCACTCGCTAGAGACTTGGCTGACCAAATGGAAAGTCAAAGTGAATGTCGACAAGACACATGCCATACTGTTTACTACTAAGAAGAATTTCCCGACTCACCTGCAAATGTATGGTGTGGACATTCCCTGGGTCAAGCAGGTCCCTTATCTTGGGGTGATCCTCAGTAAATCTCTTACATGGAACCCACACGTTACACATATTCTCAGGAAGTTTCGAGCTAGTAAAGCTTCACTCTTCCCCTTAATTCACGAAACAGTGTTCTATCTATTGATAATAAGTTGCTCATTTACAATACCATGTTGCGTCCAATTCTTAGTTATGCATGCCTCGTCTGGGCATACTCGTGCAAAAGTTTGAGAAGGCAGTTACAAGCTGCCCAAAACGGGGTATTGCGTATGTAATGCCCCCTGGTACATTCGGAATAGCCAAATTCGTAAAGAGTTAAGAATAGAGGATCTTTGTGATTTTTATTGCCGCCTATCTAGGGCATTTTATGATAAACAGGAACTTCTGGACAATCCTGTGGTTGTTAACTATTGTTATGATACTAGGGACCCCAGTTTCAGTAAACGCCCAAGGGCGATCATAAATGTTAGTAATGTGTAATTTTGTATATGTGTTATGCAAATTGTTGCTCAGATTCTTTATTGTATATTGTTCTTTTTTCCTCCTGATTGCTTTTGTTTTTACTAGTGGCACTAAGGCGTCGCACTTCGTATTTTGTTTCTCTTGTGTGTACATGTATTCTTCTGTGAAATAGTTGTTAAAAAAATAGTTAATTATGTATGAATTAGTAATTAGGTACTTAAGGAAAAAAATATGTATTTAACTATTAGCAATTATGAATTTAAACTCTTGCTCATTTAATTATTTAGCACATTCAGTTATACTTCTCATAATTCGAAACTTTTATCATGTTATTCGATGAGGGGTAGGGCTATGGCGCCCAGGCACCCTGGTAGTTAAGCACCGCAGTTCAACATCTATCTTTCAAGTCAGAGAAAACAAGTGGTTGCAGATTTCGAAATTTTTTTAAAATTTATTATCTTCTTTGTTTTTCCTCTAGAGGTCACATATTCTCAGAACCGGCATTGCATATTTATAACTCTGGTGAATAGAAATGATACTCAATAATAAAAAGTTTTATTACATTCTCCAAATTAAATAAATGTTAATAATTACAGGAGTTTTTGAAACAATTTTTGAAAAGGCATATGCAAATAAACCAGCCTCTGCGAAGAATTCATTCAAAATGCATTTAATTAAATCTTTCAATTTTTTAAGTGTTATAGCTGACATCACATTTTCAGATCTGATTTATACTACTACTAAGAACATGTTAGGGATGGATATTTGTATCTTTCTCTGGAAAATGGAGAAAATCTAGGAGAGTTGATGCTGTTGCTAAGATGAGTGAGACCTGAATAGAAGATATGTCTGGCAAGTTTTTTATTATAATTTTGAACTGTGTCTACTTTGAGATCTCTTTGGATATACGAATTTGAAATGAAGCAAGTCGCTTTGATAATCTCTGTAAGTGCTTTGAAGAACTTGGATATGCTGAAGGTGATTTTTGGCAGCTTGAACCCACACAGGACTAGCATAGACTAATCCTATCGAAGTATAGATTTATATAAGAGGATTAAGAGGATGTTATCTGAAGTGGCCATATGACTTCTGCCATGAAGTGGGCTCGTAGTTGCAAGATAATCCTGCAAAGTCAACTTTTTACCTAAAATGATTCTTAGATATTCAACTCAGTCAACGCAGTCAATTCATTCATCAAATAGAAGAGGACTTGGTGGTGTGAAATTTGTTTATCCTTTACGAAATAGTTTTGCTTTTGATTTTTGAAATCTTCCAAAGAGTGAGCCAATTTTCCAGAAGGTTGAGGAAACGTTGAAGAAGGAGCTGGACCACTATAACAGTTGATTCTTGGTTGATGAATTGCTGTATCATCTGCATAAAATGCTCTCTAAGGCTGTAATGGGAGTTCGAAATTCAATCAATTATTTTTGCATGTGTGATATGGTCTCAAACTGTGTATGCGTATCTACATTTGTCTGCTGCTCCGTTCTAAAACAATGTATGAAAATCTACTTTTCTCTGATGTTGTGTTTCTTTGATGCTGTTCATGCGATTTTGCGTTGAAAACTTTAAACGGCTGTATCACTTTTCAAATTGTTGCCACCAAATACTATCACCCTGTATTATATTTGAAGAAATTAAGTAATGAAGAATCTGCATAAATGTATGTATGTTTCTCACATTGTGATAAAACAACGGTACCTAGAGCCATCCAATTTTGAATGACTTAATCCTATTGCGAATATGGACATCTGAAAGCCCAAATTTGAAATTTTGAATTTGTTTTATTATTGATTTCATACTTTGTAAAACGTCAACGAATTTTTTATTAACAAACTCAACGATTTAAAAGAGAGCAATAGCAACACTCTACGGGGATAAAAAAACCTTTTTGTCTCCAGCGCACGGAAATGTGTATCGGAAGTTCTAAAGATATGCTCATTTTAAAATTATTTTGCGACATTGCTGTTGAACTGAATTTCATGGCTTAGGTGCAAAAAGCATGATATTTAATAAATAAAGGTAACACACAAAACGTTGAAAAAAACGCCTCTTTGGACGAAATTTAAAATCTGAAACCTTTCAGATTTATTTATTTATTTTATTTCTTTAACTTATTATTATTATTACTTTACTTTTTTGTCTTAACTTAAAGGTAGTTTTCTAACCATATTAGGCTAGAGCACCACTTTTTTTCCCCTACCTTTGGCTTTGCCGGCACTTTCAACTAACTCAAGTTCACTTAAGCGCCTCAATTCCTTATCAGAGGGTTTTTTTAGCCTCATTTTTTCCTCTGATCAGAAATAATTGTTCAGGAGTGCTCAATTACTGGTAGGAAGCAACCCCCACATATATATATATATATTATATTTAGATAATTTTAGTATTTTCAGCATCTCATTCAACATACTGTATACTTACAACAACACATTAAGGCCATCATGTTAGGTGATAGGTCACATGGACGTCTCCAACATGTGACACATCGTTTATTACATGTTTGGACACATTCATGATTAAGTTTCTTCACGCTTATTTTTTATTTTCTCTACCTAACTTGGGGGCCTATAATTAATGTTATTTTTCTTTACGCTGGGCCTTTTTTTTTTTACCCACTTTTTTACCTAGCTTTAACAATTTCGTACCAAACGCTACGAAATTAATTTTCTTTTTTTCCTTTTTCTTGTGGAACGGTATTTGATACACCAGTTGCAGTCGAATTTGAAGCGCCCTCTATCGGTCATTACAATCGCCAATTAAATTTCGCTCTAACAATATTTTCCTTTTTTCTCTTTGTCTTTCCTTTGCACTTAAGCTTAATTTTTCGCCCTGCGAAAGAAAAACTTAGCGAGTGCAAAACAAGACATCGGTCTAATTTGTCTGTCTGTCTATTTGCATGTGTCATTTATTTAATTCTAAATATTTATTATATTCATAATGGGTATTTTAGAGAAAATTAACGAAATAGAGAAGGAAATATCAAGGACACAGAAAAATAAAGGTACACTAGAGATGCAAATATGGTTTAAAGATTTTTTTTTTTATAATATTATGTTCAGATATATGATTAAAAATTTATAATGCGTAATAATGGGAAAGACCGAAATTTTAATGCCGAGTAAAAATAATAGGAATAAAAAATACAAACAAATTAATCTTAGTTTCATTTCCTTAAGGCTACATCTTTTCTCTTGAAACATATCTGTAACAATCAAACTCCAATTTTTCTCATTATTATGCTTATATTATATAATTATGTGTTGTACATATATATATAGTTGTATGTGGTATTTCAAAAATTGGAAATATTTTAAATTTTAGAATCTACTGCTATATCTTAAAATTTGCCTAGAATAAATAATAAAATTTCAAAATACCTTCATTATGAGTTTTACATTGATAGTAAATGTACGGATTTATCTGCCGTCCGTCGAAAAACCCATATACATCAAGAAAAACTGTTTTGCCGACGTAAATTAGGGAAATTAACACATTAATGCCTAAATGTAATTTTGTAATTTATTACAATAAAATAGTATTTATAAAATGTATATATTCCAAGTAAACATTAGGCTATTTTTAAATTGGTGAAAAGCATATCCCAACTAGAGGCAATTGCTTTGGATACATTTATCTTGGTCTCTTCAACAAGAAAGTAAAGGTGTATAGGAGACAGCTGCCATAACCACAACCCGGGAGTCAGCAAATATAACTGCCTTGCTGAAGTTGGTATCAAGTCCAAGAAGATTTAATGTTTCCCATGGCAAAAATCTCTGCATTGCTGTTAGAGGCACCAACACCATAGGATTCCTGAAAATATCCTTGACCAGTATTTTCCTCACATGCAGAGCCATCAGTATAAATGTGGATCTACTCAGAGCTAGAGTAATTTGTAGCTATAACTTCTAAAGAAAAAGCTTTAAGAGCATCAGGAACTGCATCACATTTCTTTTCAGGCATACCTGAACAGGCTGTTTGGCTGCTTTCATAGTTTTCGTCATGTTTAACATGGTTATGAGCCAGTTTCCATTAGAAAGTCTTTCACCAAAAAAAGACATTTTTCACCTTAGGCAGATAGCCCTGATATGCTTCACTATAATCAACCAAACCCAATCAAACCAAGAATTAGTCCAGATAGAAGTGTATAGGAAAATTAAATTTAAGAAGATTTATAGGAAAATTAAAAACATAGAGAAATAAATAATATAGCTACATGAGCATATATATTTATATACTGCTTTCAGCCACTTTTATCAGTACAGTGGTTAGTGCTGCTGGATTGTTTGGCCTGGATTCTAATCCTAGAGAAGGCTGGAATATTTTTAGTATGGTCTCTGTGTGGCATGGAGGCACTTAAATCACTGGTAAACCAAAAGTCAACTTAAAAGGCTTGGTGGTAGGGGAATAAAAGTACAAATCCCTTGGATGCATCTGCAGGGGTGTTCTCTGCCGAAAATGGGATGGAACTTACTTGTTATCTTGTGCATAAAATTTGCTGCCCTCAATGGTATACCTTGGGAAATGCTCTGGGTGATGATACAGCTAACTTGTTGAGACATTGATATTTTTAATGCAGGAAGACGTGAAAACTGATCAATGCCCTCGCTGAAACTCAAACCTGAACCTCTTGAATATGTGCCAAGTGTGCTAACCATTACATCAGAAGGCATGCAGAAAGGAAGGAGAAAATACCTTATATACTCGCACCCACTTTTAAAGGTGGCTGGGGATTAAGTAACCTGATTGTCAAATTCTGGTGATTATGAATCATCATCCACCAACTTTTTTAGTTTGGTGCCATTGTAGAGGCATTAGGATTTTTGAAGCAGGAAGATATGAAAAATGAGCATTGCCCTCACCGTTACTCGAACCTGGACCTCTCAATATATGCTGACTGTGCTAACCTTTACACCACGAAGGCATGCAGAAAGGAGGGGGAAAATACCTTATAAACTGGCCGATGGTATTGGATATCCCTAACGAATGCATTAAATTACAAGCGTGCAGCCATTTTCGGTAAAAGTATAATTTAAGGGTACCCCTTGGTGATTTTTAGCGGTACGTGGATACCGAGTTTGTGCAATTCTTTGCCTTGTTATTTTGGCTTGCAAAAATCGCTGCTACACAAAGCCAAAATAAAAAGACATTTGCACAAACTCGGTATCCATGTATACATCTACCTATTTTCACTTAAAAAAATATCCCAGAATTGCACAAAAATGGCATTGCGCACTCCCTTGAGTTTGTCCATGTACACATCAATATATTTTCATTTAAAAAGTCAAAGGAGCACCCAATTCTACAGTAGAGGCGGACAAAAAATGCATAATCTCAGTAAACTACATTTTAAACCAAACAAATTACCATAAAACAGGAAAAACCTGTTATGCATATAAGCACTACATAAAGCAAATATCCACTTACCTTATTTAGAAATTCCTTTCTCTTCAATCTGTGGCACACCAAATTCCTTAACAGCATCCAAAAACTACCTAAAATTATCTGAACTTGAATCTGTATATCGGCATCGCCACATAAATTCACAAAAATAATAGTTAAAAATGTCATACGTAGTTCCGGACTGTCCAGAAAATGGCTACTAAGTAAATCTTCATTTACTTGCCAGTCAATTAATGCACTTTTCCCCTTTTGTTCCAAATCGTACAGAAACTTCAAATTAATCTTACTACATTCAGCTATTCTACCATCTAAACAATGAAACATGCAATGTACTTCCTAACAACACAGACAACAAAAACACAAAACATCCTGTGATTCAAAATCTCCCAGAATAATGCAAACGATTATGTCATAATAGAGTTTCCATAACATTCAAGTACTCAGTTTACCATAAATGAAACGACTTGGCGATAAACGAAACAACAACTTGGCGATAAATGAAACAAGAACTTCGCGATAATGCAAGGGGTACTTTAAAGTCAACTCTAACCCCATTTTAAGGTGCAGCAACAAGATATATTGTTTTATATTAGCTTCATGATTGCTTTAGAAGAAATTTGAGTTTTATTTTCATTTTATATTTATTATATATTCATTGTGGAAAAAAAAGTTTGGATTGCTAAATATAAAATGATATTAATATTTAACTTGCAATATCAGTTTACTGAAGTTCCTTTACAACAGTGTCTAATGCTGCAGTTAAAATTGTATTCTCTTTTGAGGTTATTTGTAAATGAACTTTATGAAATATAAATTGAACTATTTATTAATGCTCAAATAGTGTAGATATGAGATTTGTTTTGTTTTCAGTTCATTAATTTAGATTAAATCAATTAAGATTTTTTTTGCTCAAATATTAAGTGGAGGGATATTTTTGAATAGCAACTGGGAATATTGCCATTATTTTTTTAGGATGGCAGTAATAATATTTTTAACATTGTCATTTTCTACGACCAACCTGACATTTTGATGCAGTTTTTTGTTAAGATGACAAAAAGCTTTTTCCTTGAAATTATGATAGTTTCATAAAGTGCTATGACAATGTCTATTTCATTTATTTGCTAAAATCTTAAAAAAAAAAAAATCTTTAAGAGGAAAGTAATTATTAATTGATTTTAGACTAGAGACAAATGAAATTTGCATAAGTTAAACTATAAGGTTTATGCTAATTAATTAATAAGTTATCTTCTTTTGGCTTTACCATAACTTCTTTTACCAACTCCCATCGGAATATTGTTACGAAGTGCTCAGCTGCGGTATGATAGCTTCTCCGCAAGGCGGGTTTAGGGTTGCCAGATTTGTCATGAAATTGCCCATTTGGCGACAAAATTGGTGATATGCCATAGACGGACGGAGAACATTCTAGAACAAATTCTTACCAGTTTGGTCCAGAATGTTCTCAAAGAGAGGCCAAAAGCTATATAAACCCTGCTTGTATGTAGAGTAGCAGTCTAGTGCAGTGTCTCGTAGTACATTGAGAGTGTGTGTCGTTGAGGCTATTGAGTTTTATCATGAGTTTGTTGAGCTCCGAGAACGACCGAACTGAGTTGGGAGCTGTAATCTAATGTTTTTCCATGAAGCTGTCTTTAACGTTATAGCCTGAAGGCTGTGTTGCTGATTATGTCAGTATGTTTGTCATAGTTTTTCAATGAATGTTAACAGGATTTTGAAACTGTCCTAAGTAATACTGGCTAAATAAATTTTGTTTATGATTCTTCATCAAGTGTTGTCATCAATCACTCTAAATCCACAAATCCGTAGAAACACAAAGATAAAAATATATACATACAGAGTTCAAGTTTCCTGAAGTTTATACCTCTATTATGCATCCCAGCTGCTTGAATTAGCTGTTAAGCTGCATTTGCTTTGTGAAAACTTAGGACCTGAGCCAAGACATGTTTAAATGTAAATGCATGCTAAATCGTATTTTACATTTTAATTAGACTTGAACATTTGTTCTATATTACCATCAAGCTGTAGAGAATTGGTTCTATTATATTTTCAAGTTTTCTATAACCTTCAGGATTATGAATTAATAAATGAGTTTATTTTAACCCTATAATGCTATCCGTTCATTTCCTGGATGAAGCCCATAAAAAATAAACCCTGCCTTCAGTAGAACAGGAAATGGGACGTGTGACTCAGTATCCGTACATGACTTTGGCCACTACAGATAAGGACATTCCTTCATACCAAAATATTTTCTCACGTAACACTTTTAGAACAATACTCATCTCACAGATTGTTAGCTGTAATGTTTGTATTTCAGAATTCAACTTAGGTTTATTTCTGTACTGTCTTGAAGATGTCAAAGCGTTTTTATACAGAAAATTTTTGGGGTAGACATGAGGCTATCCAAGCGTGATGAAGAAAATTCAGTACTTTTCCGTTTTGCCGGCGCAGGCGATAAAGTCGCCAATAATGGTACAACTAATGCCAAATGGAATATCCTCGCTGGTAACCTTTTACGCCTCATTTTCAAAACAAGTCGCAGCCATTTCTTATCAGATTAATTTTTTTTTTCCAATACTGGCATAAAAT